TGGCTCTCCCATTTTTCATAGCCAGACTCTAGGAAGAGGGACGCCCATGTCATCTTCATGATGGCGCTGCAGTCGTCCATCATGTCCTGAACAATGGCCATCTTCTCCTCGCCAGCTTTCTCATTAAGCTTCTAGGTGAGCTGAGCCTCTTGATTCTGCAGGCAACCCTTGAGTTTATTCACCCGGTTGCGGAGTCCCTTGGCCTCCTTGTCCGCCTCCTTAAGAGGCGCCAGCTCAGCTTTGAGGTCCTTTACAGACTTCTCTAGCTCCAAGATCTTCTTCCTGGCCGCCTTTAAGTCCTTCTTGACCTGCAAAGTGGCGGACGCCTGGTAATACAATATGTCAGTGGTCAGAATCTCGTTTTGAGCTATCTGGAACATAGCTTTATCAGAATCAGAGGCGGCCATGGCCTTCGCAGCTTTTACCTCTTTGTTCTTCTCGTTTATGGGTTTGCGGAGACCATACACTTGCAGCATAGACTGCACTTGGCCAAAAAACAGACGTCAGTTTTAGGCGGCTAGGAATTTAAATATGCAAAAAGTCAAGAAATTCCACCAAGTATACCTCAGCAAGAAGAGCCAGGATGGTTTCTAAGTCAAGGGTGCCGACTCCCTTGACAGCTTCCCTCTCCTCGAGGGGGATGGCCCTTAGCATGGACTTGGCAAGTTGAACCAGGTCCGGCTCTTGAGGGGCATCTGCAAAGTAGACCCTGATTAATACACGGCATCAAAACAGACAGCAGGTCGGCTAATTTCGGAGGAGCCGACTGTTTGGTGAAACTTGGGATATTTGAACATTTATACCTTTCGCCGCCTCCTTCTCTCTCGGAGGCCGGCTGCTCCCGGGGGCAGCCGCATATCTTCCCCCACTTTGGTGAGTCCTTCCTTGGCCGTTCGGCCGCATGTCTCCTGGCGTTGCCAGGAGTCGACACAACTCTAGTCGTCTGTTTCTTGGCCTTGGGATCTGGCTGGTTAGAGGAGGAAGGTCTGGCTAAGTCGCTCTACACCAAAATAATATTGTGTAAGAGAAAGGCGTCTAGGACGTAAAAAAAAAAATATTTGTTCCAAGTAAAGAAGCTCACCCTGGGCGCCTGTGCGGCAGGCGACTCCTAAGTAGACCGCTTGCCTAGAATGGCTGCACGATATTGAGCGACTGCTCTCTTGGAGGCCGAGACTCTTTCCATAGCTTTATCTACAAAAGACGAATCAAAGGGTTAGACACTGAGTCAGCCAAGTTTTTCAAGATACTCTAACACGCGGTCAACTAGCTCTCGGCATCTCCCCGCTAAGGCCACAAGCGGCCAGATACGTCCCATCGTATAACCAGTTATACTTGGGAATGTAATTTTAAGGGATGAACTCCCTCACCTCAGTCTCGGGGTTCGCCTGTATATCAACTTTGAAGAGCCCTCGGTCTAGGATCTCTTCTCTTGCTTTTTGAGGAACAGGCGGTAGATCAGATCCGCCTGTTAGGTAAGGTGCATCCCTGTTCCACCTATTGAACTTCTTGTTCTAGACCTTGTCAGAATGGGAGATGATAAGTCTATTTTATATATATTTTGATTCCCCGTCCCACGGTCATATTTGTGCTTATTTGAGCTCTACGGAGCTATTTTTATTATTGATGTACGTTTTCTAATGTTTTTGTAGAGTTGGTATTATTTTTGTAGAGTTGGTATTATTTTGTAGGAATTTGCAGATTTATGTTAATTCCCGAGCTTATTGAGCCTCTACGAAGATATTGGAGTCGGATCATATTTTATGACCGTATATTTGAAGCCCAAGATTGAGCTAATTAAATTTGGTTAGGTGATTAAGGGCTCGGTTCATTTGGAATACTAATATGTTGGTAGTCCAATTTGAATATGGAGAAGAAGGAATTACGGCCCAAAGGAGAAGAGCCCAACAATTAAATCAGCATTGAAGCCCAGCTCGTAGCTTCAGCTGACCGGGCCCGATCGGGCGAGGCGCGGCCCGGTCCGGGCGGATATCAGCGCCTATTCCAGCTATTTGGGCTTTGTTGTTTTGTGCTATCCAAATTCTTGGATAATGGCGGCAGCAATTTTTATTTTAGCTTTTAGGATAGTTTTTCCGTGAACTTTGGATTATATTTAGTTTTATAGTACTTTGATTGTGAGGGGGAATTTGGGCTCTTTACCTCTTCCTATATAAGAAGAGTAGCAGAACGTAGGTTAGGGGGGTTTTTCTTAGTTTAGTTTTTGATTAGTAGTTTTAGATTAGTTATAGTTTTAGCTTTTGTTTTCTTTTCTTTTTCTTATCAAGTTTTATTATTATTACGTAGTTTTAATATTATTTCTTGGTTTTCTCTTTGGTTTAATTATTTTCATATTAGTTATAATTATTGTTTTAATCATGCTTTCTTTATATGTCTTGCTTAGTTTAGATTTAAATATGTGTGAGTAGTTTTATTTCTAGGTTATTGGAGATCCATAAATAATATGAAGGGGTAACTTATTATTGTTGATTGTTAATGTTTTAGATTAATTTCCTATTGATTGATTTATTGCTATGCAATTAGATAAGCGCTGGTTTAATTATATGAGTTACACAATATTGATTCGAGATTCGAGAGATGAGAATTAAATGTTTAGGCTTAGTTTCAATAGGCAGGTTAATTTATAAATGGTTAAGTCAAGATTCGAGAGATGCAATTTAATACCGATAGATTAATTATGTGATTATAATACGTAGCGAAAGCCCTTTATAATCTGGTTGATTTATGCATTGATAATTGATTGTTATGTTTTATCCCGGAGTATTAATTATTGGTGAACCTATGACCCTAGGCTTTTTATTATTTATTATTCTCTTAGTTTATTTATAGCCTTTAGTATTATTCTCACAATTCTTACTTGTTTCGTGATAATTTAGATTATATTAATTAATTAGGAATAGAAAGACTTGTTTCCCTGAGGATTTGACCCTACTTCCCTACTTCCCTATCTATTTTAGTTAGTGGTTTTAGGAATTACTTTTGATTAGGTCATACGACTTTAGCCTATCTGGAGATTATGTAGAAGGTGTTCCTCCAATCCTTCTACTTGTTCTCCTTCCGCATGGTCATCATGTAGCCCTTGTGGCTAGTTAGTTGGAACCAGCCGGTCCCGCTTGTTTTGGGGGTCCGACTGAGATAGTTCATTTGAGCAAATGCTTCAAAGCTTGGCTCTACCTCATGCATCTCACAACCGACAACATAGCCCAAGATGTTGAACCATGAGTTTGGGGCCAGTTGCCAGAGACCCAACTGGTACCCATCTAAAATCCTCTCTACAGCCGGATGTAGAGGAAATCTCAAACCAACCTTACTAGCCGCCTCATAGCAGCCAAAACACTCGTCCCTGTAGCTGGACCTCTCAGGCCAGAGTACAGTATCCCCGGCATCCGGCACTGTAAGAATATAACCATGACCCATAATATGGTCAACCCTAAAACTACCAATTTTTTCAGACATTGCCTTCCGTCTGCCTTTGGGAACGTGGCAGTAAAATGGGGCATACATGTCTCTTTGACTTGCAGACGGCTCCGCCCAGTTCTCTCCTTTTTCCACTGAATGACTTTCTCTCGCTGCTTGTAGCCAAGAGTGCTTCTCCTCAGAGTCGTTAGAGTACCGACTGGAGGTGCTGGGCTCAGAGCCATCGCTCGAGCTCTCGGGAAAAGCAGCCGCCTGCCCGGATAGATCAATGATAGGAGGGTCATTCTGTACCTCCTCCCCTGTTTCTGCCAAAATAGAATCACTCGGGGTGCTTGGGACGCCTGGCGGCACGTCCGAGATCTCGCTAATAGGCGCATAAAATGAGGGGCCGTCTGAATTTGTTTTCCTGGCCGTTCTCTTTGTTTTGGCCATGGTGTCCTGCACAGACACATAGACAGTCGGACTTGGGGCAGTTTGCAAAGGCTGGTCCAACATGGGGCAGTCGCTTTCCTAGTTCTAGATTCAGTCGTCCCAGTGATCGGCTGATCACTAACCTAGGTCGTGCCATGTGCTTTTGGGCTACCATTTTTGAAAAAAAGAAACAAACAGAGAAAATGCAAATGCAAATGCAAAAGAACAGGCGGTTACCTTTTACTAAAGTGAAAACTCTTGAAAAATTGGGCCGCTGAAAAAGCAGGCGGACTGAGATCAGGCGGTCTGGCAGCAAGCGGCAGTCGTCCAAAATGTCAGAGCTAAATTCCAAAAGTTCTGCCTGAAAAGATTCTGGAATGTCCAAATGATTTGGACATCCCCTATTTATAGGGGGGGAATTTCAAGGGTAAAAAAAAAAACGGTAAAAATCGTTAGCTAATCAGAGCGTGACACCTGTCACAGGCGCCACGTGGCAAGCCACGTCACCCCTGCGAGGGGCAAATGATTAGGGGATTTCTCCCGCCACGTGGACCAATGAAACCCTGCCACGTGTCATCCATATGGACCAACTAGAGCCCGCCACGTGTCACTTCGTGAGAGGTCCAAGGTGGACCAATCAGGCCACTACACGTGGCAGGTAGTTTGCCAACTGGGAATATGGCCTTTAAGGGCCCAAATACCTAGGCAAGCCCAGTTAGTCCTAGGTATTTGGAAACCTAGTACTAGGCACATATTTCGAGACCCTGTAAAAGGGAGATGTTCCCTCAATGGAACATCATTCAGAAAATTATTAAACACACGCGTACATTACTCCCAGCTAAGGCTTGGATATTGAGACTGTCTCAGGCAGTCGGATGATCAGTCCCCTTCCGAGAGGAGCCTGATCCCCTTTACATTCCGCATACTCTACTCCTCATACACGTTCTAACTTGATCGTCGGAGGTGGAACTCCCACCCACAGGAATCTCCGTTGTTTTGCAGGTACATGCGACCCGAGTTCAGTCTTGGTGTTGTAACTCTCCCGCAGGACATCCAAAAAACCCCGAAACACCAATCACACCTCAATTCACCAGCCGTGACATCATAACTTCATCTTCTTCCTCCTCTTCTTTTGCACCTCCAAGCTGCGAACCCTAACAAAAAAAAAATGAAAATTAGGGAATTAGTTGAAGAACAGAAGAAAAGAGGAGAGAGAGAATCTGGAAATTGGGGTATTAATTATAGAACATAAGAAGATGGAACTCAAAAACTAAAAAAGGGATAATCAGGGAAATTAATCGAAGAACGGAAGAAAAGAAGGGAGGGAGGAGAGAGAACGTGATGTTGAATTAAAAAAAATAAAATAAATTATGGTGTGACCAACTACATATGAAAATTTGTTATAACCAATTCTATCCCCTTGCGAAAATAAAACAGTTTTGAAATGGGGGCTTCCTCCCCAAAAACAAAGGAAGAAAAAAAAAAAAGTTTAGAAACAACGATGCAGCAGCTCTCAGTGACTAGAGACTGCAATGTCCGACCTCTATTTTCACCATCCACCGTAACTCCACCACTTTCTGCTGCAACTTCTTCCCATCTATATAATTCAATCAACCCCACCTTCTTCTACACTACAAAAACATCAGTTGCAGCAGCAGCAAAAAGGTGTTGTTCAAAAGGGTTTGTTCCGGTTGTTTCCGCCGTCAATGCCGCATCATCCGAAGGAGGAGGAAGGGAAAGATTGAGCTCTAAATCGCCTGCGAAGGCGCTTCGACGATTGCTCAATTCTGCTGGCCTTCATCAAGGCCCCGCCTGCTTCGATGCTCTGAGTGCTAAGCTAGTACAGGATGCCGGGTTTGATTTTTGTTTTACTAGTGGTGAGTTTACTTTGTTTGATTGTATTACTTTTTATTGTTTTAGGATATTTGAATGAAATTGAGAAACTGCATTGTTTTGTTAAGGGGGTAATTTTATTTTTTTATTCAGATTATTGGTTTGATTAATCTATTTGGTTTTGTTATTGGTGATTGGGGTTTTGTTATTTCGTTGATTTCTGTGAGGATGATTAATTATGGAGTATAATGATTAATTATAATTTAGGGAAAAAAGGGTTGAAGTATTGTTCATTTTGTGATTTTATTGAAGGATAAACTATGAATCGTTGCTAGGAATGTAGAAATTTGCAACTTGGAAGCAAGCGAAAATAAGGGAAAGGACATTGAACGGTTTTTAAGGAATTGGAATGAATATTGGGATGTTTGGGATTGAGGATGTACAAAATTTAGGGGTGCTCAGTTACAAGCTCAGTTGATTTTTGTATGTATGCTTTACGATGATGTAAGGCATTTTAATAGATTATCTTTGAGCTTAAGTGTCGTTTGACATCGTTGGGATTAGCTGGTGCTGTGCGTCTTTGGTGGTGAGCTGGTGACTTGCCCTATCTTATGATTCAGGGCTCGTTCTTTAATTCTGGGAGTAGAGCAGGAATCTTGGATTCTGTCAGTTCTGGGAAGACTGAACTCTCTTGCTTATGTGATGTACACCCTTGTTTATATATGCATGTCATATGGTAACAACTCTAAGTCAAATCAAGTCTCTGAACCCATTTATTGGATAATTCGGCATGTGGGTGCTAATAAACCATCATTTTATTCATTGCTTGCAAACTCTTGCCCTTAATGACATGCCTGGAATTCAAGATAAAAATAAGATGTAAAAATTAGCGGAAAAATAGTTTCAAGGGGACTTAATTAAGAGGAGAAAGATTACTTTCTATATGTTTGGGAATCTTACTAGAGCAATCCGTTTTTACTGATGTGTTCATACAAGAACTAAAAATAAATATGTATTTTACAGCTACTATATCTCCTCGGTCCTCCCTTTGTTCTCACTTTCTCACGCCAAGCCCGATGACGGTAGGCATTAAGCAACAAAATGAGTTGAAGCATGATTGATTTTCCAGGGAGAAAAGTTACCCGGGGTGGGTGGGTGTGTAATTGTTATCCTCAATTTGTTGGGGTGGGGGGGGGGGTGGGGTGGGGAATATGTTACACCATGTAATTATCTCCCCCATTCCACCCAGTTAAAAACTTTAGAATTTTTAGCCCTTGAAACTTTTCCCCTCCTATACATCTCAATCCAGGCATGGACTAAGAATTTTCAGATTTGGTTTGATTTCACTACGCTAATATCTTTTTGTTTTCCCTACTTTTTCTAGGATTTTCAATGTCAGCTGCTAGATTGGGATTGCCTGATGTTGGCCTTATATCCTATGGAGAAATGGTGGATCAAGGGCAAAAAATAACAGAAGCTGTGTCAATACCTGTGATTGGTGATGGTGATAATGGATATGGGAATGCAATGAATGTGAAGAGAACTGTGAAAGGATACATCAAGGCTGGCTTTGCAGGAATCATCCTGGAAGACCAAGTTTGTTCTGCTGCTTTGGTTTCTGAATATATGTTTGTATCATTGTGTTCAAGTATCTTTTTATTATCCTTTTATTTGGTTGTTACTTTGTATTCAACTTTTTTTTTTCTTCACAAACGGGTTTTCTCTTTTATCAGTTTACATTTTCCCTTGACTATTATTTGTCCGGAATACATAGGATTTAGTCGTGAAATGCAAATTTATAGAACGAACTATATGTTTGGCACTTTTTATTTTTAAGTGAATTATGTGAAAGAAGACTTAGACCCTGTTCTATTCATATAGTTTTTTTTTTTTTTTTTCTTGAACTTAAATTACTTTTTGCTGAAGAGAACATGGCCTTATATTTGCATTTTCTTTTAATTTTAATAAAAGGAACTATGCATTTACTTGAGACTTGCTCTTCAATTTTCTTCTAGGCATCAATCTTAAAAATTGCTATAGCTTATATGTTTCAGTAATTACCAGGTGTCTCCTAAAGCTTGTGGTCATACACAAGGCAGGAAAGTCACCTCCATAGATGAAGCAGTAATGCAGATAAAAGCAGCTATAGATGCTCGAAGAGAAAGTGGTTCAGATATTGTCATTGTGGCAAGGACTGATTCTCGTCAAGCTGTGTCCTTTGAAGAATCATTGCGGAGATCGCAGGCCTTTGCTGATGCTGGAGCTGATGTTCTGTTTATAGATGCACTAGCTTCAAGAGATGAGATGAAGGCCTTCTGTGAAATATCTCCTTCAGTTCCTAAAATGGTGAGATATTGTTGTTTGTATCTAATTGAATAGTCTTGGTTACTTACTGTTTCTGCACGTGTATTTCTATTTTCATGCTATGGATGCCTAATCGCTTCTTAAAATAACATTGTCATCTTCAACGTGGGACATTAGGACTCTACAAAAACTTACCACTTATTGATGGTTCAATGGGATCAAAATTTACATTTTACTGAGTCACCAACTGTGCTAGTTTAACGTAAACAGGACAGCTCCAACTCTTTTTCTTTTCTTTTTTTTTTGGGTGGTCTTTTCATGAAGAAAAATATGTGGTTTATGAATAGTCATGTTAGAAGAAATAACTAGCTTCTTATGCAAAAATTTTAAGCTTGTCTTGACAGCTCTTGCAATGGTAGTTATAGGCACTGCAATCTGTTTGAGTATTCATCTACTAACAAATATTGTTTCTGTGTATATGAACCAATAGTAACTTAAGAAAGTATTATCAATAGTCCTTTTTAACAGGCAAGATTCTTCAACGTTTAGCAGATGTGAGGCACATTAGAATTTTATTGGTCAAACCGCTAGATTACCCCTTACATTAATAAGCTAACTCAAATTGCTACCGACCTTAACATCATATGATATAGAGGATTAGAGATCCTTTTTTGAGTTTTTGCAAAAAAGACACCCATGACCAATGCAAAAAGTTACAAGGAACTAATGTACACTTAATGGCATACTGTTATTTACCATCTCAATATGATTATCTCCACCAACTTGTGTGATTAATGACTTGCAAAGAAGAAGTAAATACGGGAAAGGGAGCTTATGATTAATCAGAAATGATTGGGTGTCAGCATTATTTATGCATATTGAAACAGTAATAAGAATGAAATGGTTCTTTTTTTTTTTTTTTAATCTCACCACAGAAGTTATGTTCTATTGTTCTGAAATGATTAAAAACTCAACTTGCAAGATGTGCTGAAAATATGGCACCATAAAGACAATTTTTGGAGGTTCCTTTGATGATAATAAAGATAGTTGAAATTTTAATATGAGAGCTTATGGTTCTCATGTGTCCGAGCGAAGAGTAAGGGTGGTTGAGTTATTGTATAAGATGAATGGATACACTATAAGCCAAAGGAAGGTTAAAAAGGGAGTATGAGACATAAAATAATTTGTAGTATTTCTTTTAGGTGTACTTTATGATGGAAGGATTTAGTACTTGTGAAAATTAAGTTGGTTTACATCTGTCTCTAAAAAAAAATGTCTAATCATGGATGAACCTTGTTGCTAGCAACAAATATGTAAGCTAAGTTTAACCAAATTTGTCAGAAAGAAAAATGTAATCTAAACAACAGTGAAGTTACTTTTATTTTCTTTTCTTTTTTTCTTGTGAAAATTCTGAACATATTCCATTGTCAATTATGTGGATAATTTTATGGTTAATAGGTTAATTGGAATTTTTATAAGTCCATTAATAATGTATGTAATTTTTGATGGCTCTAAAGCTAATTAAAAGTCAATAATATATGATTGCGATTTAAAATAGGATATTCCTTTAGCCTATTTTACATAACAATTATATGTTATCGACTTTTACTTAGCGTTAATAAGTAACAAATTATGTTCTTGTTGCAACTACCATGAGCTAACCACAACTATTTAACAAAGCACTTTCTATCAAACCATTAGTGCCATTTGCCTAAAGGGACAACATTCGGCTGGGTTACCCATAACTAGATTGAAAGTGTAAAATAGAAGACGATGGAAATGAAAATAGAAGAGCCAAAATATGGTAACGTGGAAAACCCCAATGAAGGTGGGTAAAAACCGCGAATGGCTATGAGTCCACCAGACCACTATAATGCGAGCGTTATACCCATTATTGATACAAGTACATTGATTATTTGGACCTCAAAGGCCTTAGATAGTAAAAAAAGCATAAGAATGAGCGATTAAATACACATTATAGCTGTTGAGAAGATATTTAAATGTTGAATTGGTCATCGTGGCTTGTGGGACAATCAAACGAGAAACGTCGTCCTTTGGGCCATGATACGAAGCGCTGTGTTATACCTTTTGATGATGGATTTTGAAACGTATTATTTTTGGATATTGTATGTATGGAATATGCTCTGCCTTTGTTGCCTCTTCTTGTTCACCTTTTATAGGCCTTCAAGTATAGTAGTCGGTTAGAGAAGATAGAAGATATGCCTGAGTTCCTTTGGTCAAATTAGCTTACAAAATAAATAAGTCAAACACTAATTGTTACTGTAATATTATTACAAGTTGATAGCTAACTTGTAAGAGGGTCTTGTTTATAGATATTGAAGTCAAATATGGACTGTTCTTCTAAAAGCCTTATCAATACTTTAGTAGTTCAGTCACGTTAGCTTGTAATTGCTTATATTAGTATCTGCAGGGCATTGTGGGACTTTGTCAGATATATTTGGAGAAGTGGGCTATATGCCAGTTCTCTTCAGTTTCCTGATACCGTCTTTGGTGCTTACTTTGTTTGTTTCTGCGTATGGATGCATGTAAACTTCTTTTGCTTATACTATGAATTACCGTTTGAGTTATTGTTTACCTCTTCTTAGAATAGGGTTTGTGTTCCAGAGATGGTTGGTATTGTTAATCAACACTAGTTATTAATTACAACACTTATCTTTCTTGAAGGCCAACATGCTTGAAGGAGGAGGGAAAACACCTATTCTCACTCCTATGGAACTTGAAGATATTGGATACAAAATTGTTGCTTACCCACTTTCTTTGATAGGGGTCTCTATCCAAGCAATGCAGGTAACTAGTCTCAACTTGAAAGTAGAACTAAATCTTCAGTACTATGTTCTCTCATTGCTTATGGGCATGCTTTTTAATGGAGGAAATGTAGAGATTAGTTTGAGTGTGGCACTCATCATTAGCAAAAAAAAAAAAAAAAAAAGGAAATTTTAGAAAATAACACCTGAACAAAACCTAAATTTTGATTATAACACCACAAAAAAAAAAAAAACTTTTATTATAACACCACAAAAAAAAAAAACCAAAAAAATTGGTTTCACCACCACTTAACTTTGTCATCCAAACTTTAAGTGGGCCCCACACGGTACATGTGTCAACCATTTATTGGATAAAAATAAATTAAAAAAAATGAAAAATTAAGAAAACAAAAAACAAAAAAAACCCTAAAATGCTACCCAGCCACCACCGCCGTCACCCATACCCGACCGCCGAAATCGTCGAACCCCGACCACCCATACCCAGCCCACACCATCTTCAAACCCAGCCTAACACCAACCTAAACCAGCCGGTGTGGGGTACCTATGTCTATGGTCTTTGACAATGGTCCTCAATTTCAGACGCTTGCTCTTAAGAACTGGTTGGGAGACCAAGGGATCTCTCACTGTTTTGCATCAGTCGGCCGTCCTCAAGCAAACGGCCAGGTTGAAGCCTTCAATAAGTTAAGTTAATAAGTTAATCTCTGATGGCATCAAAAAGAAAATTGAAAGAGCTGGCAAAGCTGACGAGCTACCGCATGTTCTGTGGGCCATCAAGACGATTGAAAAAGGGGCGACCGGTGAAACTCCATTTCTCATGGTTTATGGGGCAGAGGCTGATCTGCCTATTGAGCACTATGAGCCGACTCTTCGAGTCATGCTTTATGACGAAGAGGCTAATTGGGAGGCCATGCGGCTAGCATTGGATTCACTTCCAGAACGCAGGGGCAATGTAGCCTTGCGTAATGAGATCTATCGTCTGAGAATGACAAGAGCTTACAATAAAAGAGTGCACAAGCGGCCCTTAAAAGTAGGGGACTTTGTGTTATGAAAAATGGGACTTTGTGTTACGAAAAATGGAAGCAGTTGGTAGGGCCAACGAGCAGGGAAAGCTGACTCCTAACTGGGATGGCCCCTACCGAATCTATGAAGAAGTTAGAGGCGGCACCTACCGCCTGGAAACACCAGACGACAGGAAGCTAGCCAGAACTTGAAACGTATACAACTTGAAAAAGTACTACTTCTGAGATTTGTAAATTATTTGTACATTAAAGCATATTAATAAAGCTTGCAATTCAATTCTCAGTATTGTTTATTTGTAAGTCTCCTCCAAGCGGGGCAAGCCGCCTGTGTAATCACTTACTCTAACATGAGTAAAAATGCTAAACAACTATGTTCTTTTCTGAACAATCTAATGATTGGCCCATTGCCATTGCCATTGCCATTGCCATTGCCATTGCCATTGCCATTGCCATTGCCAGATGATCTTACTAAATTAAACTAATACGTCTGTTCCAAACAAGAGCATGCGTCCGGCGACATCCATCCGAGTGAATTCGTCGCACAGAGCATCCCCCATTTGGGTGGCACATTGCTCTATAAATCTAAAACAAACGGCCCTACCGAATGTCTCCAAAGGCAGCCTTGTAATCGTTTGACATGAGACGAAGATAAACGTACCACTTCCTACGAACACGCGATAGACAGTTAAAATCTAAGTTAGAAACCGCCTGTTATTGCTTGGGACAATACAGTCGGCATAATTTGAGTAAATAGGTAAGCAAAACTTGGCGAATAAAGAGGTACCATGCGGTCAAACTTTGAATGGAACCTAAACGGTGCGAACCAAACCTCCTGTTTTTTGGCAAACGGACGGTAACTATTCCTCTAAAAGGTTTGCAAGCTATAAAACTTTGTAAATAGAAAAACAACTTACGACAACAGCCGACTGTTTCTTCTGTTTCATTCAAGTTAAGGTAATGGAGACTGATTAACTCCAAAGGTTAACTCATAGCCACCCAACCAGCCTATCATGAACCTAAACGGTGTGAATAAGACCGCCTGTTTGCCGTCAAACAGGGGTACACTCGACCACTATTCTTGCTAGGTTTGGCTACGTTGCTAACCGCCGCCTGGAACCCAATAGGCGTAGCTACGGCAGCTAGACATTCCGTTGGACGCCTGCTTCTGGGCACCCTAACAAACGGCCAGTTAATGCCCAATAAAATTAACTAAGTAAAAACTTAGTATATTGCGGTTTACAATGAGGCCGAGAGCCGAATTATACTATGTGTTCGCCTGTGTAATGGCCGACTGCCGCGTGGTTTGGGGCAATCACACTAGTGATTGATTGACCTGGAATTAGTAATTAATACTTGAAGTATCAAAAAATCCAAGTCAATCAACTCACCTTCGAAAACCCAGCGCCAGTCGCCCAGGGGCAAAAACTGTCGGTATACCATAGCAATCGCATATTGAAAAATTTGCAAAGCATTCATACAAAAAGGCAAGCTATATTTAGCGAAATTTATGAAAGGCAAAAATTCAAAGCAAATTGCAAATTGGGAAAACAGACAAAACTGCCGGATGATTCATATAAATAGTCGGCTAGAAGACCGACAAGAATGTTAAAATTGTCAAATAAACCCCGACCCCTCGGTCGGGTAATGATACACAACAAGTGGCACGCAGGCCAAAGAAAGACTTAAGCTTCTGGAGGAGGCTTCTCAGATTCAGGAGCTGCATCCTTCTGATCCCCCGTCAGCTCCTCTTTTTCGCCATTCGCCTCCTCCTCCTCATGGTCCGACTCCCCAGAGGTAGAGGTGGAATCAGACGACTCGCCACCCGCCTCTTCTTCATCATGGCCTTGCCCCATGATCTTGTCATTGTACTCCCGGGTACAGGTGGCAAACTGATTCTTCAAGCTTTCATAGCTGTACTCCGGGAAGAGAGCCGCCTAGGTCATCTCCATGATGAAGTTGGTGTCCTCCATCATGTCCTTCACCAACGCCTGCTTCTCCTCATCGGCCCTTGAAGTGTATTTTTTGGCAAGCTGGGTCTCCTAGTTGGCAGCCGCTGCTTTAGTTTGTCTACCCGAGTGCAGAGGCTGGCTGCTTCAGTTTGTCTCCTCGGTATACGGACTTTTCCAGTTCTGAGAGGGCCGCCTCTAAGTCTTTCTTGACCTGCAAATTGGCAGACGCCTGATAATACAGTATGTCAGTGGTCAGAATTTCGTTTTGTGCAATCTGGAACATAGCTTTGTCAGAAACAGAGGAGGCGGCCCGGGCCTTCGCAGCCTTTACCTCTTTGTTCTTTTCGTTTAGGGGCTTGCGGAGACTATACACTCGCAGCATAGACTGCACTCGGCCAAAAAACAGTCGTGCGACCAGGCAATTATTTAAACAACAAAAAAGAATTTTTCACTAAGTATACCTCGGCCAGAAGAGCCGGGATGACTTCCAGATTAAGGGTGCCGACTCCCTTAACTGACTTCCTGTCCTCGACAGGGATGGCCCTCAGCATGGACTTAGCCATTTGAACCAGATCCGGCCTTTGAGAGACATCTGCACAATCAATACCCTGTAAGTACTTGGTGTAAATTCGGCCAATAGACCGACTGTTCTCAGAGGTGCTAGACGACTGCTGATTGAATTTGACCCTCAAAGGGTAAGGGAAAGGAAACAAGTCTTTAATACCTTCAGCAGTCGCCTCCTTCTCCTTCTCCTTCCCAGACCGATTGCCCGAAGGTACGTCTGGAGATTTAGGAGGTTAGCTGCCCCCTTGAGGCCACATGTTTCCTGGCTCTCCTAGGGGTTGTTATGTCACCAGTCCTCTGTCACCAGCCTAGAAGGAGGAAGGCTTTGCTAAGTTGCCCTGCAAAATAACCACAATAAGTAAGAAGCAGGCGGCAGAAAAGCTAAATGAGATTTGTTCAGTTGAAAGTTCACCTTGGACGCCTGCACAAAAGGCGACTCTTCAGACCGCTTGCCCAAGATGGCCAAGCAGCTTTCTTTGAGGCCGAGAGCTTTTCCATGGCTTTGTCTGCAAAAGATGAATCAAGGAGTTAGTTTGACACAAAATAAATCAAGTTTCACAAGACACTTCAACAGGCAGTCAACTACCTCTCGGCATCTCTTCACTAAGGCCACAGGCGGCCAGATATGTCCCATCGTATAACCAGTTATACTTGGGAATATAGTTTTGATGTCTACTTTGAAGAGCCCTCTGTCAAGGATCTCCTCTTTTGCTTTACGGGGAACAGGCGGCTTAGGAATGGTGGGTTCCTACTCCACCTGTTAAATTTTTTGTTCCTAACTGTGTCATGGAGATGATGTAGAAAGTGCTCCTCCAATCTTTCCACTTGGTCTCCTTCCCCACAGTCATCATATAGCCCTTGTGGCTAGACAACTGATATCGGCCAGTCCCGCTTGTCTTCATGGTCCGGCTGAGGTAGTGCATATAAGCGAATGCCTCAAAGCTTGGCTCTACCTCATGCATTTCACACCCAACAACATAGCCCAAGATGTTGAACCAAGAGTTTGTGGCTAGTTGCCAGATACCTTGGTATCCGTCCAAAATATTCTCTACAGCCGGATGTTGAGGAAATCTCAGGCCAGCCTTAATTGTCGCCTCATAGCAGCTAAAACAGGCGTCCCCGTAGCTGGACTGCTCTGGCCAGACTACAGTGTCCTCGGCATCCGGTGTGCAAAGGACATACCCATGCCCCATGACATGGTCGGCTCTAAAGCTCCCAATTTTTTTCGCCATCATTTTCCGCCTGCCTGCGGGAACATGATGATAGTAGGCGACATACTGCTCTCGGTTGGTGGCAGACGGCTCTGCCCAGTTTGCTCCCAAATCTACTGAGAAGGAATCTCGCACAGTTTCTAGCCGAGAGTGCCTCTCTTCAGACTCATCCGAGAATTTGCTTGAAGTGCTTGGCTTAGAGTCGTATCTGAGCTCTCGGATGAGGAGTCCGCTTGGTGGGCCAGATCAACCCAGGCCGACATATCATTTTGAACCTCC